AACATTTTATTTCACATTCGGGACCGGTAAATTGACAGCTTAGATCGATGATAATTAAATTTAACGCCTTTACACTATTTTTTGTGGGGATATGTTAAAGATGATGTCCGCTTTAATTGACCCATTAGAAAACAACATTAAACTATTTATTCGTGAAATACCGGCCGAAATGTTGGAAAGAGTTTTCCAAAATTGGTCTCAGCGGATGGACAAATTGGGGCTCAATCGCGGTCTACATTTGTATAAAATAATCTTCAAATCTTCAAATTATATGGAACGCACAATCATTTCAAATAAAGATTTCATGATTTATTCTGATTTGTATTTTTTTTAAGAAATCTTGAAAAATCACCATTTATTACTTTGTGCCAAGCTTAAAATATATGGGACACATTTTGACCATAAATATTTATTAATATTAAATTTCAAATAAAAAAATTATAATTACAGAAATCTTCTTAAAATAACGCTGATTTTACTCGGCTATACTTCCCCATCTGCTGATATTTGCCAACCTCTCACACACAGACACTTTCAACTATGAATGCAATTGAAATAAAGAAAAGCCGTTTATCATGTTGGTAGTATCTTTAAACTTGGTTGCCTTAATTGCTGAGGTTAGATTCCAATCTTGCCGGTGTAGCAGCGGCAGCGGCATAAGTAAATGAAAACGGTAGAATGGAACATAAGAAACGGGAAACGCATTTAAGTAAATCGCTTTGAAATATGCAATGCAAGCATAAAATGCACAATAATAAAGCAATTCTGCCGCAAACAACCCTCCCCCCATCCCCCATCCTTTACAATTTCTATTAAGGACAAATAATAAACTAAATTTTCATTTAGTGGGGCGCACACACACACACAGTGAGAGAAGCTGTAAAAGAACACCCAAACGACTGTTATCTCTTGGAAAAAGAAATGAACAGAAACATAAAAAGCGATTTAGCCCACTCACACACAGAACGATAGACACAAATACAAAGCCAAAGTGGAACATGCCTTGAGTGTATTGAAAAGTATGTCCGCTTTCCTCCCCTGCCCGCCGTTTGCTCTTTTTTTGTGTTTTGTTTTGGATGCTGAAAATTAAATAGCGATATATGAGTTGAAATCTCCCAAAGGGAATTAAATATAACTGCTCATTCGCCTGTAACCCAATCCCATTTCTTTACAGGATAACTTTGGCAGAGAGCTATTATAGATGAGTGAGAGTGTGTGTGTGTGTGGTGGCTGAACTCTCTAGCCGTTGTACGCGGCTTGAATAAAAAGAGTTAAAGTTCAAATGTTCGAGTGAATTACAATGGGATAAAAAATTCCCGCTTCAATATACTGCGGCTATAGCAGCAGCAACATCAGTTACTGCGAAGTTTCCGAAACGTTTTAAGTGGAAATGTTCTTTTGGTGTTTTCCGCTACGTTTATCCGTTCGCTGAGGCTGAGGTAAGTAGCAACAAAAAAGGATGCAATGCACAGCAAACAAAAAAACCGGGTTTGTTGTTCACAATGTTGTTTAAGTATGTGGTGGTGGTGGTGGTGGCAGTGTGCGTGTGCCAGCGAGTCGATTTGCCGGGAAATATTATATTGGCGTATAAATATTTGCTGGCCCATTGAGCAGACGACGGACGAGCGAGCAGAGCAGAGCAAGTGTATCTATCGCAGCCTTGTACATTCATTCATCTGTATACATGCAAGTAGTCATAAAAGTAATCGCCTTTGGCACGTTTTCAAGTTTACAGATCTCGAGTAACAGACTTCCTGGCATAACCCGAAGCACACACTCTCACAACATTGGTCTGCCGTTGCGATATAAAGAGAAAACAGAATCATTTAAACACCGGCACGTGTTGAAAATTTAAATATTTTTATTTCAAAACAGCTTAACAGAACAACAACACCGACCATAGAAAAAAGCCAGCCCTTAAGACTTCCACCATCAGAATTTGCCGGATATTAGTTTTTTGTTGTGCAAAAAGAGAAAAAAGAAGAAACAAGAAGCCCCACAGAGAAAGGCAACCAATAATCAAGGAGTTCAAATCTCGCCCAGTAACCCAACGACCTCAATAAAAACTAAAAACAAATGAAAAATGAAAACGAAAAAGCTACGAATTTAAGTAGTACTCATAATAAAAATAATAAAATAAAACAAATCAAAGATGGCCTTTAATTTTTTTGCCCAAAAGCTAGGAAGGGACTTGCTTGTTATCGCAACTATTTGGGGAGGCTGTTGTCTAGTATCACGTCAAGCTAATTTAGCCAGTTATCTTTTATGCCCATGGCGGACAATGGAAGTACTTTTAAACAATATTTTCAAATAGTTTACATTTATATTTCGGGTCCTGGCATATAGAAGTTTTTATAAGCCGAATTTTGCTGAAACTTGGGTTTTGGATTCTCAAAATGTGGAGCATTTTTTATAAAAAGGGAGCACTGATCCAACAATAAAGGGTTGACCGAACCACGTTCATATTTTAAATAATCAAATATATTTCAATGCAAAATTTGAAAGTGTAAGCAGCAAGAAATGTGTGTTAGGATAGTATTTTTGTGTTTTAAATTTTAATTAATTTTAAGAGGTTATTGCAACTTTGCAAAATATTTTTTTATAAGCATTTAATTAAAAAAATATAAGGTTTTTTTTAAGTTAAAAAATTTTAATCCATTTTCTTTGTAATTTAATTTTTATTTTTGAAAAAAATATTTTTTTAGGGTAATTTGGGCCCACTGATGTCAAAATTTTTTCAGAAAAAATTCCAAATTTTCGTTTTCCAGAAGCCGGAATTTGACCCTTTGTGGGGGAGCGATGTCCGCCCTTCACTCTAGCTTCCGAACGAAATGAAGTAGGTTGAAGTGGAATGGCACCTCCCTATTTTCGGTATTTTGGTAATTTAAGCGACGTTATTCACCGGTAATGTTTCAAAGCCTATGACAGAAAGTTTTCTGTGCAGTCCACGTCTTCGTATAGCCCTCATATAACGGTACCTCCCGATATTCGGTATATTGATGATTTTAGCGACATTATTCACCGGAATTGTTTCACATTTGGTATTTGAAGTTCGTAATAGCCCTCATATAACAGTACCTCCCGATATTCGGTATTTTGATAATGTTAGCGACATTTTTCAAAGATTTTTTTAGTTTCGCATTTGAATATTGTAATGACTTATGACAAAATTTGTCTATGGAGGTCCACGTCGTCGTTAAGGCCCTAATATAACGGCTACATTCGGTATTTTTAAGATTTGAACAGAATTTTTAACGGATTTTATTTTTTTGAATATTGCCAAATTCGTTCCAAATGGTGGAGGGTATTTAAAGTTCCGTCCAGCTTTTTTACTTTTCATATTTATCATTACTTTATTATTATGGGTTATTTTTAAAAATAATTTAAAGAGTATCCAAAAATATGGGTTTCAGAAATTAACCTACCATTGAGGGGAAAGGGTATTTTTAGGGGGAGGCGGATATTTTAAGTAAGGATACCTACACAAAAATGTGTTTAAAATTTTACGGTTTTCATATAGAAATATGTTTTTTAAAAGGTGTTTTCAATGTTCGAGAAATCGATCAGAGGAGCAAAATGGCTTAAGGATTATGTCAAAATATCAACCGATATTGCGAAAAAGATCGGGGGAAATTGTTTTTATTAATAGCATATTACAATTAATTTTGAATTGGAGCTTCGAACTTACGAATATCCTGGGCTATATGGGACCATACAAAATAATGGATCTAAATTGAACCTTTTCTACAAAATGGGAACCTTACATGCAGTTCCATAGCCAAATTATAGATCTATCTTAAACATTTCTGGCAGAAAGAGGTTATAGTTGTCATGATTGTTATACCCATTTGACTCCTTTGGGGAGATGTCTGAAGGGCTGGTTCCGCTATATCCAAACTTCACATCATATCTTGTGTTTGGTAAAAAATTTTTGAAATCTGACTTTATGCCCATTTCAAATCTGGACCCGTTGAGGGGGAGGTACCAGTATATTTGGTACCTTCTAACTATCTTCATACCAGATCCAGAGTTGGTTGAAATCACCCCCTCTTTTTCACATTTTATACGTTTTTATTATTCACAATTTTGAACCTTTGGGTGCGAGGTACTAGAAGGAATACCGAGTTGGATCGAAATCGCATACTCCCTTTGACCTCAATGGGATAAAAAATTTTTACGATTTTGTAAATTGTTGCAAGAAGGGGGAAGAGTGGGCCGAAATTACCCATATTCGAATTTGATCTAAGTTTGAAAAAAAATTAAGATAAACAGAAAAATCGTTTCAAGAACTATGGTGCGTATCAACCAGACATACAGACATTTTCGGCGTATTGAATGATATAAACCCTGCGTAGCTATAGGGCTGAGAGAATAAAAATGAAAAAATCCCGATGTGATGTCTAAACTGGGACAGTCATGGCCCATTTCAAATAACAAGCAACATGGAAAAGCTCGAAAAAAATAATGCGTCACTTTCTGATGTCAAAACACAAAATGACAAACATTCATAACAAAATCGAGTTAGAACTTCATGCTGATGAGAAATAAGACGATATAGGATCTCGGACGAGTATTTCGAGGAACTCGAACGAGTATTTCGAGGGGCTGCAAGCGGAATTATGGAATTTATATACCATCACATTTTATTTAGAAGGCGTATAATAAAAAGGATTACAAAATTTTAATTTTTTTATAACTTTAAAGAAAATATCTTTTTTTTTGGCTCTGAAACGTTTTTTTCCAGCCCAATATAAAAATCCCTTATTTTACTGCTACTACTCTTCTCAATGTATTTTAGTTTCAAGCCAACTTTGTTTTTCCACACTTGAAAAATCCCCCAATGTGCCTTTTCTTCATTCAATTGTTTATCAGTAAAATATTTTATAATTGCTTTTATTTCCGCTCCCCACCCACATTTGTTCAAATAACCACCCACTCGCTACCCCCAAAACAGAGGAAAAGAAAACTTCGATTCTTTGTCTTAGATTCATGGCACATACCTGGGTTAGCTGCGAAGAAGCATAATAGGATATTCTCGAGGGACACACCGATTCTGGCTTGGAATAAATTGTCTCTGCTATCTGATCGCCCATGGGCAGTAAAGCTGTTGCATATGGTGATGGTGTTGGGGAGCTGCGAAACTCTGCAAAGAAAAGCAAAAAATAAAAAGTGGAGAGAAAGAGAAAGCAAAAACATTAATAAATACAAACATCATCGTGTCAACATTAGTGGTGGGAATCATCTTCGCTCGCTCTATTATTTCTGTTATATCAACAGGACGATGATGATAATAATAATAGCCCCTGAAGAGCAAAGCAAAGATTTGCATGTTTGTGTACGTGAGTGTGTGTGTGAGTTTGTGTGTATGTTTGTATTCGGAACAAATAAAAATAGACATCAACTCACTTTCAAATATGTTGCAGGACTTCTTCGTCTCCAGGGGATACTTATTGAGACTGGCAATGGTGGCATAGGAACCACTGTTCGCACTGGGTGGCCTTCCCAAGGGATCCAGACGTATGAAAACATTTTGATGGCTACCATAAGCGGCTGTCGTAAAACTGGTGCTAAACAAACAAACAAAAGAAATAATCAGGATTAATTACGTCAATTAATCAGGGGCTAAAGCCCGGCTACACAAAACCATTTAAAGCAGGTTAACTACTGGCGTGTTTGCCTAATAGGATGCTGTTGTTGTCTTGTTGGTTGTTAACAACAACAATAACAACAATAAGTAATAAGATGTTACTCTAAATGACTAAATTGCCATTCTGTGGCATCCAAAAAAAAAAAGATAAATTATTTTACTGTCAAATAAAATGATGGGGTTGTTGCGGAGACGGCAGAGCAAGATGTAACTTTAAGACGAATTGCTGAATTTATGACCTAAGGCTTTACTTGTTGGGTCTATTAAATATTTGTAACAGATTTTGACCAAGCAGTTTATGACTGCCTGCGTTGTTATTATTTTATTATATGTTTTGAAGTTATACAGCTTTATAATACGTCTAATAAACTATATTAATCCTGTATGCCATAAACAGCTGCTTTACATCTCTTTCATTAATAATATGGGATTTAAAAATGGTCGTAAAAATATTATTACAGACTGTAAAAAACTAAACAAGAGGCATTACAAAAATGCAATAAAGACGTAGATTAGAATGAGCTGCTTTAAAAAATATATTTAATTAAATTTTATTTATTTATTTAATTAATTTTATTTAATTATAAACAAACGTTGTTTTTATAAAAATAACAATAGAGGGATTAAACCTTACCATTTTGCAACAACAAAATGCTATGGTATCCCGAACAAACGACCTAACACTGTTCTATTTCATTAAGAACATTATAAAATTTCAAGGCTTTAGAGCAGGGAGCAGCCCGCATGGCTTCAATGAGCGTAATTCTTCCCGTACTCACAATCAAACCCATTTAAAAACAAACAAGTAAAAAAGCATTACGTTCGGCCGGGCCAAACTTTTAATACCCTCCACTTTAGGGTAAAGGAAACATAAGAAGAAATGTGGCAAAAACCATTAAAATGCCGAATATCGGGAGGTACCGTTATATGGGGGTATACCAAATCGTGGACCTACACATGCAAGGTTTCGTCAACGGAGCTAGAAACCATTATGACCTACAAACACCAATTTTCAGACAAATATGTGAAAAAATGTGGCAAAAATCATCAAATTACCGAATATCGGGAGGTACCGTTATATGGGAGCTATACAAAAACGTGGACCTATAATTACAATGACTCGCCACACGAACTTGGACCCATTATGACTCACAAATACCAATTTTTAGACAAATCAGTGAAAAAATGTGGCAAAAACCATCAAAATACCGAATATCGGGAGGTACCGTTATATGGGGACCCATACATGCAATGTTTCGCCACCGGAGCTGGAACCCATTATGACCAACAAATACCAATTTTTAGACAAATCCGTTAAAAAAAATGTGGCAAAAATAATCAAAATATCGAATATCGGGAGGTACCATTATATGGGGGCTATACCAAAACGTGGACCTATACATGCAATGTTTTGCCACACGTACAGGGACCCGTTATGACCTACAAATACCAATTTTCAGACAAATCCGTGAAAAAATGTGGCATAAATCATCAAAATACCGAATATCGTGAGGTACCGTTATATGGGGACTATACCAGAACGTGGACCGATATATCTCATTTTCAATACCAACCATTCTAGACACAATACCAATTGCTCTGCTAAATTTTGGCGCTCTACGTCAAATAATGTGGGCTGTATCGTGATTTCAACAGACAGACAGACGGACATCTGATTATGAATATATATACTTTATGGGGTCTACGACGAATATTTAAGGATGTTACAAACGGAATGACTAAGTTAATATACCCTCCTTTCCAAGGTGGAGGATATAAAAAGTAAAAGAGTAACACAGTTGGGAGAAGAAAAAAGAGCAACTCTGCCCGATCCTGTTTTAGAGCGAAGTAACGGTAATACACCTTCAGACACACAATATAATCTCTTAATTAAATTTGTGTGCCAACATTATATTGATTCCCTCAAATGAATGCTCAACCCATGTCTCTGAGGATGAAATCTCATCCATGACTTTTGGAGTCAGTCTATGCCTGTCTGGCTAGAAAGCACGAAAAATTTCGATGGAGAATCCAAAGTTTGCTATACAATACCGATCCATCGCTTTAGGTAACTTCTCTACAAAGGTTCATTATCTACGGCAAATCGAATAACATAAAATGCGATTTGCTTCAAACTTTACAGCTGATGATATTTCTGATAACCTCTGAAAATTGATATTATATAAGGATGATATATATTGGTGACTTTTTCTGCTATCTTTGCTATAAATTATGAAATCTGTTCAGACTCTTCGGCTGTTATCCCCAAAAGCTCAACATTTTCTTCTTGTACTCTAAAAACTATCTCATTTGATAGAGATTGGTTTTGTTTGTTTGTTTCTAAAAATACTTCTTTCAGCTCGTCTTTACGATTCCCTTGAGCTGAAGCATTTCGTCGGAAAATACTCGTCCTTGTATATCCTTTACATATCCTTCTATAGATTCATCCGCAAGAATTTTCTTTAAAACAGTTTCTAATTTAAGGCTTCCTACAGCTCATTTATATTTACTTCCATCAGCTCTTCTTTAAGAAATCCCAGTGGGTCGTCCATAAGGAATCCCATCGGGTCGTCCATAGGGAATCCGGCTCGCTTTACATTGAGCTCGTCTATAAATAATTTCTTAAGGTCGTCTGTAAAGGCTTCATTGAGCTTATCTATAAAGAGACTCTTGAGCTCTTCTATGACCCCGAACTAATTCATCAGTCATTTCATTCAGCATTATTCTACTATGCATTGGGACCCGGAAAGACCTGCAACCTACCTCGATAAGTGTCTTCTTGAAATAGCTAATAGCCCAAAAATCCTTAAAACGACTTTATTGAGCGTCGGTAGCAGAAATTATTGAAATTTTCTTTACCCTTTCTTGTGTAAACTTCAGTGGCCAGGCAGTAAGCCTACCACGAATTTTAAATCAGACCAACTAAGCTCTAGAAGGGAGCTTGTTCTTCTCTTCGTCTTCGCATAGTCTACATTAATGAGGAACACTGTTGTCCCATCTTGTGGTAAGACATATAATACTGCAGTACAACAATTTTTAGATCCGGCCTACTAAATGACAGAATGGGGCTGGTCTCCTCGAGAAGTGCACTTCAAGGAATTCTTCCCCCATACTATTCATATTTTCAAGAAGATATTCATCAAAAATAAGAGTAGAACTAAAATCTCTTTGACCCAAACTTGCAAAAGTTTTTTTTTTTTTTGTCGGGTAGAGCACATGTTAACAATAGAAGTACGCTTCCGATTCAAACTGAAACTTAAATAAAATTAATTATGAGAAAATTGTACTCATTGACATACTTTTTTAAGGCATAGGGTAACATTTTTCCTATTTCGGTTTAAAGTTAGGTCAATTTTGAAAATTACTTTTTCCCAACTTTTCCTGGTAAAAAACATAAATCGAAGACATTTCTAGTTTTTCTTCCTAACAATAAAATATTTCAAAATCGTAATCTCATATAATTTTATTCATTTAAATTTGCAGTTTTGAAATCAGCTCAGACAACTCTTTTGGAATCGTAAATTGGAAATTTTAGTTTGGAAGTGTATTTACACTTTCCTCCCAATCTTTCGGTTACTTCTAGCTATAATGGCAAAAAATTTCATACTAGAGGCCTGTTCAAAAGTATAAACACCTTAACGTCTAAGTAGGAGAAAGTCCTTCCCATTATAAGAATCCATTTTATTCTATTCATTTATATTTTTCCCACCTCAAAGTTTTTAACATCTGCTGCCATTGATTGGATTTACACCTCAAAAAACGCTACTCTATTCAATTTTCCAATTTTACATTCTGTTATTTTTTTTTTCTTGTGGATCTCTCTTTCCATGAAATGCCATTAGGTTAATATATATTTTCTGCATACTTACTGCAATGAGTCCTGGCGTATTTGTTTGCGTGCCCTCAGATACATGGTGCTGGCTATTAGACCCACAACCAAGACCAAGCCCAGGGCACAGGCTGCAGCGCCCAGCAGTGCAGGACCCTGAGAGGGAGCATGAGCAGGAGCCGGTGATTGATTTGGAGCTGGAAATAGACCTTGAATTGAATAAAAGAAACGCATATTATTCGACAAAGCGATGGGATGGGATGCAAAAACACATGATTTATTCTTCCTATTCTTCTACTTCTTCGTTTTCAGTTCGTTCGTTCGTCACTTGGCAGTGATGCCGACATGAAATGGTGGTGGTGGTGAGAAAATAAAAATTGCCAAACCATGGGGGGCACTTACCTTTGATACAGATTTTATTACGCTTAAAATGTAATTTGGTATCATTATGGCGTGGCGGTCCCCGCACCAGCATGTTTATGCTGAGTGGGACCTGCTCGCTGATGTTGCCGCTACAGGGCAAATGCACAGAAAACGTTTCCACCTGCTGTGGCACATAGCCCTTCTCCGGTATGCTGAGGGTGGGTGTAGCCAAGGCCTCCTGATCATGGTCATAATCGATGGTAATTGCATATGGCAGCTATGTATGGTGGAGCAAGCGGGCATGTGGGATCCGAGGCGGGCGCAAATGGAGCAGAGAGGGGGAAGAAAATAAATAGAAAAAATTGGTGGTTAATGGAGTGCAAATTGGTTTTTGAGTGGTTAGTTGGTTGGATGGTTGGTTGGCTGCAAGCTAAGGGCACCAGAAACAGCAGCAGCAGCAGTAATATCCAGAACTCCCACCAAATTCTCTGGGACGGACAGTCAAACAGATAGAAATTTATAATAAAGCCACACACACAAAAAGTGCGCTCCTTGCACAAACACATGAAGATGGACAAAGCAATAGACAGGAGCAGATAGACAGACAAAGGTCTGCTCAAACACTCGCCCAGACACACAACCAGCCAGCCAGATAGCTATAGCTACCCAGGCAGGCAGGCAGTCACTCCGTCACTAATGTTTACACTTACATTGGCACATTAACTCTAAAATATCGTGTAACACAACCACACATTATCGGCGTATGGCGTTATGTGACGTAAGTGTGTGTGTGGGTGGGAGGATTTGGAGGGTGGGATGGGGTGCGAGGTGTTGCTCACAATAAGGTGTGATGAGTTATTGGTGGAGGTGGTGGCGAATTGGCGTGTTTGGCGTATGTATAGTGTTTGCGGTAAGAGTTTAAATGTTTTGTGCGGTTAATGTTTGTTTGTCAGCTGGATTGCTGGCTGGCTGACTGGCAATCTGGCTTAAGTATTTTGGTTTGAATGGAAATGTGAGAGGGAGTGTGTGTGTGTGGGTTGTGTGGGTTGCGTGGGTGGGGGGAGTGTATTTGATAAATGTTGTTATTATAAAAACTTACCGGATAAGCTGTAAGACTTTGCCATGAGAATTCGAGGTCATGTACATCTGCCGGCACCGGCACGGTGAAGTGCATTGCGTATGTGTTTATTGTTCCCTCGTGAACGTAGAATAAATCCGCTTCCAATTCTGCCATTTACAAAGTGTTGGACAAATCGCACATTTGCGTCACCATTCAAGGCAAGGCATCGTCATCGTAGAAGTCGTGGAGAATATTTGGCGTTGTTGTTGTTGTTTTTGTTGTGAATGATATTATTTTCACACCAAATGTTACATTGTTGTTATTGTTATTATTATTTCATATTGTCGTTGTTTTTGGCATAAAGTTTGGTAGTTTATGTTGTTGCCACAACACGAAAGGAACATTACCGACGGCAGAGCCATGTTGACATCCAACAGCAACAACAAAAACAACAACACACGTGAATGTAATAAGCCACAGCATTGTTGTATCAGACAGCCAACAACAATAGATGATATCAATGAGTTAAATTCCCATGTAAAGTCGCATGCCGGGTCGTGTGTTGCAAGCCAAAGAAAAGTGGTGGTAACAGCATCAAGAAGCAGGAACAGCGCGGCAGCATCGAACCAATAATGAAAAGAAACACAATATATAAATATAAACAAACAACTCCCATAAATTTCTTGTTATTTTGCTCTCTTTTATTGTAATTTGTGTATCCTTGCAATTCTTTTTCGTGTTGTTTTAGTTGTTGTTAGTGGTGGTTCTATCAATTCACCGAAAAGTTGTTCCTTTGTAGATAAGTGAATGTAGGGATAAGCAGAGATTCTGTGTTTCACTATTTGGTAAACAGTGGTGAGGTTCTAGGGATGGGATTTCTCTTTAAAAAAAAAATTCTGTGAAGATTTTAAAATTTCTGAAGACTTTCAAAAATGATCTTCAAATAAACCTAAAAAATCTCTATTTTTGCAATTAAAAATTATTTCAGATTTTCTTTTGTATTTATATAATACAATATATTTTATAACTGCTTCACTATTCAAAACTTCTCTGGTAAAATTGAATTGTGAAAATCGCTGGATCAAGTTATCAAATTTGAGGAGTTGCTGTCTACAAAAACAGAAGTTTGCACTGAAATGTTTACCCGTAAATAAATAAAGACACTAAATCTCCGAATTGCCTCAAATTAGGCACATATTAAAGAAGCCCCAACTAGAACGCAAATTTTAAATTTTAGAAAAAAAAGAGAAATTTAGAAAAAGTTAGGTTATGTATAGAACGAGATGTTGTGCGAATGGTCTCCGCCGCTTTGCTGGCACACACGCGATATTTTACTGAATTTTTCAATGACCGTTGCGCATAAATGCTGCGGTATTTCTATAATATACGCTACGGTTTCTTCTTTATACCCTACACCACTTAGTGGTAAGGGTATTATGACTTTGTGCATTTGTTTGTAACATGAAGACGGAAGCGAGATAGACCCATTGTTACTTTTGAGGATCTCCATAGAATCACTTTCTGAGTTGATTTGTGCATGTCAGTCCGTCTATCCGTCTGTCGGTGCTTCCGTCTGTCCATGTATTCTTGTGAAGAAAATGCAGGTCGCATTTATTATCCGATTGAGATGAAATTTTCCAAACAACATTTGTTTGGCCCAAGGACGAACCCTATTGAAATTGGAGATAATCGGTCAAAATTTAGATATAGCTCCCATATATATTGTTCATCTGATTTGTTATTTTTGTCCTCCGCAGCCGTAATATGCACTCTGTAACAATAATATTTGGGGAAATATATCAAATACAGTTCAGAAATACATTTGCTAAATTTTATCGAGATCGGTTCAGATTTGGATATAGCTCCCATATATAACTTCATCCGATTTACCTTTGATTGTGCACCAAACGTCTAATATTTGTCCAAATGGGATGGAATTTGGCACTTACGACCGAATTGAGTCTAGAAGCTAGTACGCCAAATTTGGTGAAGATCGGTTCGGATATAGCTATAGCTCCCATATATTCTGTTCATCCGATTTGTTATATTTGTTACCCACAGCCGTAATATGCACTCCGTAACAAAGATATTCAGGGAAATATATCAAATACAGTTTAGAAATATCTTTGCCAAATTTTATCGAGGTCGGTTCCGATTTGGATATTTCTCCCATATATATCTTTATCCGATTTCAAATGAATTGTGCACCAAATGGGCAATACAAGTCCGAATTTAAAAAATACAAATGCTTCGGCATATTTACTCCTTTGAACTTTATATTATAATTATAATCATAGCGTGTATGATGGAATTCTCCCAATTAAAACTTTTAATTGTTATGCGGAGATCTACTAAATTAGCAAAGTGGTGTAGGGTATCATAAAGTCGCCCGACTTTAAGACTTTCTGTACTGGTTTTTAGGTTTGAATCGTCGTCGGCTTATTGGCTATTTGTCTATATCAGTTTGTACGCCAACTTCGGGACGAACAACGGGGTAATAGGGTATTTCCTCCACCAAAGAAAAAAAATACTTTGAAACAAGTTAATCCGTACATAGCCCTTAAAATCAATTTAAGCCTTGTGTTCTTTCTGGGGAATATGTCCGATTTTTTTTCAAATACCAAATTCTTATGTATGGACAAATATTTGGTCTAGGCTTCTGTGCATTAACGGTAAGTAACCTGTATTTCTGCCCACGTAGGGTAGCCCTATTTCATGTTTTGCCAAAATTAAGCGGATCACATTTTCCAACAGATGTGAAACAATTCCAGAAATAATGTCGCTAAAATCGTAAAAACATTGAATATAGGGTTGCTCCGATATAAGAGGGCTATACGAAGTTCTGAACCCGTATATGTAATTTTGTCATAGGCTGCGGTACACATCAGGAACATTAAATACGGAATTTCCTGTGAATAAAATGATTCCGGTGCATAAAATCATCAACATACCGAATATAGGGAGATACTGTTATATGAAACCTATATGATGACGTGGACCTGTATGTAGGCAATTTTCGGTAGCACTCATTACGAACTAACAATAGGACATCCCTAACAATGCCCGAGGATATGTCGCCAAAATAATTAAAATACCGAAAATGGGGAGATAACGTTATATGGGGTCTATGCGAAGACCGGGATCTGTATGAACAATTTTCAGTCATAGACTGTAGTATCCAATAGGAACTTCAAATTCTAAATTTTAAACATTTTCGGTGGCACAGTGTGGCACAAATCATCAAAAAAGCGAATATGGAGACTATACCAAAACTTCGAGCTATATTGACAGTTATATGCAAGAATGTTTATTACATAATGGGAACATATGCTGCCAATTAAAAGCAAATTCGGTTTAAAATGTAACTGAACCTTACAAAATACCTTAAATTTTTCGGTACAGTTATATGGGGGCTATACCAAAACGTGGAATTATATAGCCCATTTTCAATACTAAAAGTCCTGCAGACCCAACATACATCTATGTAAACTTTTATCAACCCACTTCATTTCGTTCGGAATCTAGAGTGATTTCCTCAGATGGACAGACAGACGGAAGAATTTTTTTTTAAGAAAATTGAAGAAATCCGCAATATCCCAAAATTCTCAATTGTTTGTTTATCAAAAATGTAATAGGGGTTTCTTTAAGAAAAATTAAGAATATATGAAAATATTATTTTTATTTATTTATTCCAACTTTTAAGATATTCCTATATTGACTTGATGTGCGTTTTAATAATTTAGACCGATTCCCCAAATTCATTATTGAGAAAAAATAAAAACGAGAGAATAACAATAAAACTAATGTGGCCATAAACTTAATTAACTCACATCGAAATGTGTCCAAGACAATAAAACCTAATGGACGGTGGCGAACTATTGAAGGACACAATTACAAAAGGTTTCCAAATGGATATGTTGCATGATATTTCCACAGATGTTGTGTCATCGAGATATGACTTTCAACGACAACAACAGATGACACTTTGACCCCGCCAACCACCATCCCTTACCCCGACATGTGATTGCCCAGCAATTGAATACTATTTTTTGAAATATGTCTATTTTCTCTGAAATTTTCTCGTCATTGCAGTTATGGAGATAACTATTAACACTTCCTTAACTTGTCTGAACCACTGTGGCTTTTTTCTTTATGGCTTGCTACACCTCCCACACCTCCCACACACCCTTAAACCCCATTGGAACAAGGTGGTGCAGCAATTCTTCATGGCTGAATGAATGGCTGTAGGAATGAATTACACTGTGTACTTCCTTGTAACAACATACAAGAGGAGTAACAACAAACGAATCCTAAATCAATTTTCGTTTCGTACAAAAAAGGCGAAAGGACTAAACTAAACTAAATAGAAATTAACTGTTTACTCTGTTTACTGCTGTTGCTTTGCTTTCGTGTTTGGTGCTTCGTGTTTGCAGTTCACAATATATCTGTGCAGCAAACGGCAAAAAAGGAAATGTTTTGTGTTCTGGTTGTCATCCCGACTGGATGTACGGAAGCTCTAAATGAAATTCTTGAGAGATTTAATGTTTCCTTTTTCCCCCCACCCCGCATTCCCACCTTCTTCCTTTTCATCTATTGTTCGCATACGTGTTGTTATCTGTTTGCCCCCTGTTTGCAAGAATATGTGGCAAAAGTTTGGAACAGCGAAAAAGAGATTGTGTGTTTGGCGACAAATAAAAGTCACATAACACAGCCAACAACCAAGAATTATGGCCAGTGGTAAGAATGGATGGCCACAACAGACAATGAAAGCAGAAGCTAGGAGAATAAGCTGTGGCCTCTTAATACCATAGGTGTGTATTTTGGAGGAGGGGACCGGCAAAAAATGAAAAAAGAAAAAAAATTACTTTGATTGACCGAATTGTTGCAGTTGAACAATAAATCAAGTTTGATGAACTGCAAACAATGTCCGGCAGATGATCATTAGTCACTTCGAAGCAAATCTCACCAAAATAAATAGAATAGTTGAGAAATTATGTTATTAATTGTCTGGAGGTTTTCCCCTCCCCCTTCTTCTTGTTTTCGATACTCCATTGAGGCCGATAAAAAAATAGAAAGAAATCGTTTGTCATTTCAGTGGTGCAAAGATGTGTTTGAATGATTTATGGAAAATTGATAGGCAATTTTGTTTAAGTGATGCCGTAATGGA